ACCCTCCGAGAAGCTGGCGATTTTACCCCCCCTGGCCCCATGGGGAGTGGGGGAGGGTGGCAAGGGTCCAAGGGAGCCTCCCAGGACCCTTGCCACGCTCCCTCCCCACACAGGGCCAGCACCGGCAAAATCGCCAGGTTCTGGGAGTGTTTGGAAGCTTGATAAGCCTCCAAACACTCTCAGAAGCTGGTGATTCTACCCCCCTGGCCCCATGGGGGGGGGAGCGTGGCAAGGGTCTGAGGAAGTCTCCCAGGACCCTTGCCACGCCTCCCCCCCCCCGCATAGGGCCATCACCGGCAAAATCGCCAGTTTCTGGTAGTCCTTTGAGGCTTGGGAAGCCTCTGAAGAGTCCCAGAAGGTGGCGATTTTGCCCCCTCTGACCCCTGAGGGGGGCAGGGTGAGTCTCTAAAGTGTCCTGGAACACACTCTAGGACCCTTTGGAGGCTCACCCTGCCCCCCCACTGGGCCAGAGGGGGGGAAATCGCCAGCTTCTGGGACTCTTCTGAAGCTTCCCAAGCCTCAAGTCCCAGAAGCTGGCGATTTCGCCCCCTCTCACCCCCAGGGGGACAGGTTGAGCCTCCAAAGAGTCCTAGGATGTGTTCCATAAGATGGACCTCTCCATAAGGCTCACCAATTTTTAGGAGAAGAAAACAAATTATTTTTTTCCTGTTTTCTTCTAAAAATTTGGTGTGTCTTGTAGAAAGGTGCGTCTTATGGAGCGGAAAATACGGTATTTCACTTTGTTGTGCATCACTGCCATTTAGATTTAATTGGGCTTCATTCCCTATTCAGCTTGGAGACAAGTAAACTGTTATGCCTTAGTCTCATCTGTTCTTTCTCACATTCCCATTTCAAAATGAGGCCCACTTGCTGCTTTCCAGCACTATAGATTCTTGTGCATCATATATTTAAAGTGAAAATTGGTCTGTTGTGTAGTATTCTATGCTTAACAGGAGAAAATGTCAGAAGAAAAATAAAACAGCCTCATTTTTTCCTGTTCTTAGCAAAAATACTGGGTTTCACATTATTCAGCAGAAGAAGCAAAACAGCTTGATAAGACTGGTAGATTGTGTTTAAATGCAGATGGGAGTGACAGACTAGTTATATTTTTCCCTTCTGAAATTCTGTAGTAGAACTTGGTTTTAAAACTGTTGCTTTGATTGTAAACTGAAGTAGCTATCGTGATTGGAAAGGTGGAGAGAAACTGGTAGTGATAGTAGCATGACAAACTAAGAGTTGTAACAAACCAGCACAGTTCCTTTTATTTCTGAATAACTGGTTTAGAAGAGAAGGGAGTACCATCAATGGACTATATCTCTCTTTCAGCAAGGCTTTTGACTTAGTCACATACGACATCCTCCTAAATAAGCTTTGGAAATGTGGACTGGAGAGGACATAAATGGGGATGCACAGTTGCTTGAAATACTGCACATAACAGGTAATTGTTTTAATGGATTAATAAGATAATGTAAATAAATACTGAGCAGATTTCTGGAAGTGAATGAATTCAGTGTCTTCATTGTTTTATACAAGGAAGGAATAAGCTAGACATAGAATGTTGGAAATGATGCCAAGTGAAGGGAAGTAATACACATACTTCAAGGACAAATTAAATGCAGCAGTTCTGATTGGGAGATACAATAATACTGAACATGCACAGCACTATAGAGATAAACAAATTTGGAATTTAAATCTTCAGTCCTTATGAAACCTGACAATACAGTGAAATCAATATTACTGCCATACTGCAGATGAATAACTTATCTCCAAGTCAGGATACAAACTGGGATTTCTCTACTAATCATTATGGTACTCCATGGATGATGGTTGATAGCAACATAATTTTAATAACAAATTATTACTACTACTAATACTGTTTCTACTTATATACCACCCCAAAGAGTTCAAGTGTTCTCTGGACGTTTTACAAAATAATTAGGCAATGAACATCCCCCTCCCCCAAGCTTAGTACTCAGCTTACCTACCTGAGAAGGATGGAAGGCTGAGCTGGCTACCTGAACCCAGTTGAATCAAACTCATGTCATGAGCAGAGGTCTGGCTGTATTGCTGCAGTTTAACTACTGTGCCATACGCTCATAGTTAAATTGCAGATGTAGTAAGAACTCAGATGCACAAGCTTGTAACATCATTCAGAAGATATTGTGGGTTATAGAAATCTACAGATATCTCAAGAATGTAATACTGCAGCACCTGGATTAAGTGCAAATTTCACTTAGATTGAATTAAATATTTTATCCAGGAATTGGGTAATAACACGGTTTCCTTGACAGTAAATTGCAAAATATTTAGACTTGCAGCCAGAGATTACTTTCTTCAGCACAAAAGTAATTTAACTTCTGAAGGCATCCCACTAAATTCCTTCAATCTCCCTATCCTAGCCTTGAAAAAAGAAGACAGGGGAGTTATGATGGCACTTCTCAAAGACTTGAAAGGCATGTCATACAGAGTAGGGGCAGGATCTGTTCTTGATAATGCCAGAGTGCAGGACATGCATGAATGGGCTTAAGCTACAGGAAGCCAGATTTTGGTTGAATATTAGTAAAACTTCCTAACTGTTAGAGCAGTAGAGCAATGTAACCAATTATTGCAAGAGGCAGTTAGTAGAGATGAGATATTCATATTCGTTAACAAATACGAATATTTCTGGCCTGGATCCCCAGCCCACCTCTCAGAACTGATGTGTCCACTTGCGGGTCATGGTGGGGCCATTGTCCTGCTCATTGGTCCAATCTCTGATGAAGCCTGGCTGCCACGTCTCTGCCTTCCTATTCTTCTGGCCACTCCAGCCAGGGGATTGGAAAAAAAGTGTACCCACTCAGCTGCTGAGCAGCCGGAAGAACAGGAAGGCTTAGATGCAGCAGCCGGGCTTCATTAGAGATTGGACTGAGAAGCAGGATGGCAGTGCAGGCATACTGCACTGTAACCCGTAAATTGACAGGTCGGTTCCGGGAGACGGGCCTGGGAATTTGGGCCAGTGATATTCATATTCGTTAACAAATAATGAATATCCCATTGCTAGTGGAATGCTTCCACTCTCCCATCCAACAGTGGAAGCATTCAAGAGAAATTTAGACAACCACCTAGCAGATAACTTTTTATCTGTATTCCTGTATTGAGCAGGGGGGTTGGACTTCATGGCCTTACCTTCCAACTTCATTATTCTGTGAATAATTTACTGCAGCCCTGCCTACCTGATTCCATGTCATTTCAGAGTATCTACGTAGTTGTGTGGATTAGGCTACAAAAATACTAGTGTGTGAGTGACGTTTTCCTTCACCTTTTCTTTATCTAACACATTGTGAGACAATATTGAACAGGCTAGGTAAATACAATGTGAGTGTAAATAATAATTGTAATTGTGTGTTGTCAAGTTAGTTCTGACTTATGGCAACCCTTTTCAGGGTTTTCTAGCTAGTTAGAAGTGCTTTACCATTCACTTCCTAGGGCATGCTGGGACTGTGCAGCTTACCCAAAGCCACACAGGCTGGCTGTTCTGAGACACAACATGGAGAATTGAACTCCCAACTTCTGGCTCCTCAGCCAGATACCTAACTCACTAAGTTATTAGATTGTCAAAATAATGACAAGATGCAGAATGTACTAACTGTAAGAGTATCACTGATGAAGCAGCAAAGACAGTCATTTGTAATTCATAAAAAATAGCAGTCCTAATTTAGGCAAGTAACCTAGCATATATACATCTCTACCTGTTTTTCAAATTGCATGCTTTTAACCTCAACAGCTTTATCAAATTGCATGCTTTTAACCTCAACAGTACATATGTGTTGGAGTAGTAGGGCTCTCCAAAGCAAAGCAAATGAAGCTGTCTCTGTCTTCTCTGTTTTGCGCACTGGATTTTAAAACTGATACTGTACAGTATTCTTCGTAATTACACAGGGAAAAAAAGCTGTACAATGCTGGTGCTGGAGTTTGATTGCCAGAATAAGATAGATATGCTACTATGTAGTGGCAGTTGCTGTTTTATATTGTGATGCCTTTTTTTAACAGTGGCAAGCATGAGGTCTGCTTTCATTTATTCCTGCAGCTGTTACAGGCCTAGTGGTAATGACTTTCAGTACAGATGACATGAAAAAATAGTTGAAGCTGTTGCTTATATAAGTTAGGCTCCTGTTTGTATAGCAAAAATGCCTTTAAAATTGACTGTTTTTACTCTGTGCTTACATTGCTTGTAGGCTGCATCTACTTTTCAATCATAAAACACAAGAACTGTAAAGTAATCACAATGGACATACACTTTCACCTAACATTAGGTTGGTGAAGTCTGTTCCCACAAAATGTTTATTTTAGAGTTCAACAATCATGATAAACAATTAAAAAACATTATTGTAAATATAACATTGATTAGTTAAAGTATTTTTTCTGTCAGAACAAAATTAATGATTTTAAATCAGATCTCTTGTTTGACAAGACTTGACCAGTTCAAATGGTAGTCCAAATCTACTTTGGGGTGCAGGAACCCCAAGTTCTAAGATTGTAGGCACTTTCTCAGCCATGGGTCTTGTATGTTTCTGTTGTATATTAGGATTGGGAGAACTCATATAGTTAAGTAATGAGGGTTATTAAGATAAATTGTTTTCTTTGAATCAGAGCTAACATATATACACACACAGATACATACATACATGCATGCATGCATGCATCTTGGATATATATGTATCCATGATGCAACTGTATCTTTGCTTGGAAAACTGGATTTAATGTCTGTGTGTGTATATTTTTGCCAAATTTTACTTCTGCTAGCAAAAATGTTAACAATAGTGTCTCTGTATGAAACTCTGTTCAGGACTCAGATCCACTTCTTCTCTGACCTTGGAGGTATTACTATGTTTTACCCATAACCGCTGAAAACTATCTTTACAGTCATACAGACTAGAAGTAGAGGATAACTTTGCCAAGTTCTGTAATCAGTCCCAGAGTGGAATATTACAGCCTGTCCCTAAGTGAACGGTTACAAATGGGCAGTTACAAGTTGCTTTAACTGTACTTTTTTTATCTGTGTGGTCCCCACATTACCAGATGGTGAAAGAGATACAGTGGGGGCTTGACTTGAGAACTTAATCCATATTGGAAGGCGGTTCTCAAGTCAAAAAGTCTGTAAGTCAAGTCTCCATTGACCTACAGTGCATCGAAAACCGATTAATCCCGTAACAGACCGTTTTTGTTCCATTTTGGTTTTTTTCTGGTCTGTAAGTCAATTCTCAGGCTGCAAGTCAAACCTAAATTTTGCGGCCAGAGAAGTCTGTAACTCAAAAAGACTGTAAGTCAAGGGTCCACTGTACTCTAAAGTAATATTTATATGGATGTCTTTTTTCTGGAGTTTATAAAAGATTCTCTCTCCCATTATTATTGATTGCTAACCAGTAGAAAATACATGGTGCATTCTTCTCTCGTCATGTGTTTTTGGAGGAGGGGAGGCCTTTGCTAGTTTCTTAGATGCACAGAGGTACTGTAGTATTTTATGTCACTGAAGAATAACCCAGTGGGTGTTGAGCAGAGGTGGTCAATTTTCAACAGCTGGGGGGCATTTCTGTGCTTTCTTTTAAAGGCCTTTTAAGGTCTGAAACAGTGTTGGCTGGTAGGTGGGGATGGATAATTCTGTTTACCCTGGATAGCAGGGTAAGTGTAATTGCATGTGTCCTGTGCTTGTTAGTAGTGGGAGTAAAGTCGCAGTTTCATGATTATGGATATGAAGGCAGCCTCCAGTCAGACAAATTAAGTAGCTCTGCCAAACAAATGGGAATGGGAAGCTGGGGGAGGATGTGGAGCCATTTCTTCTCCAGTGGTGCTGTAATGGTAAAATGAATTTTAATGATTTACCAGTGACCCCTGATACAGGGGAAAGTGCTTGAGAAGTTTGTTACATGTCACTAATACGAAGGTCTGGCTCTTTGTTTATAAGCTTATAATTTAATGTTGCTTATTCCTAGGGAACTTTTAAAATACTGATGTGCAGTTGAAGATCTGCGGAAGATGTGTGGTTGACCTGTATTCCAAGAATATGGCAATGAAGGAAGTTGGATCCTTACTTGTTTCAGGTATCTTCTTTCACCCTAGTTGTTTTGCTCTTGTCTTTTCTGAATAGCTGAGTAGACTTATTTCTGGCTACTGTGGTATTTAAAAATAAAGTAGGCAAAGTCTTGATTACTAGTGCTGTAGAGAGAGCTGGAATCCTGCATGAATTGCTTGAATACTCTTCTGCAGAGGTCTTTAGTTCTTCTGGATGGCAGTTTAAACCCATGAAAGAGCTTGTTTAAATAGGTCTTTTTAGTTAGGAACTTAAATATATTAGCTACTGTTATTCTATTTTTCTGCTTTGGTATAAATACTTAGCTGGCAAACACATGTTAATTACTTTTGAATTTCTGTTTGTTTGTTGTACTAGTAGGACCTCTTTCTCCTGGTGAGGAGACCTAGACACTGGCAGTGTTAAAACAAATCACAGTAAAAATACAGTAAATTAGAAAGTTAAAAAAGAGTTAAACATAGAATAATAATTAGAAATCAATTAATTAGTTATGTAATTATAATTTAAAAGCATTTCAAAACATAATTTAGAAGAATAAAAACCCAGCATTCAGAGACTTAATTTAATTTTTAAAAGCTTCTCTGAAAAGACAAACTTCTGTAATATGGACTTCCAGCTTTATGCTGCGACGAGACGAGGACAGTGGAGCTCCGTCTCCTGGGCTGAAATTCTAGTCTAAAACCACCCTGAAGAGGTGGTGAAATGGGGGAGAAGCCTGTTGATCACCGGGGGCGGGGGCGGCAGTTACCTATGTTTGATCCACAAAACTCACCAGTCAACTGGCAGGTGGAAACAAGCAGCTGAACTAGCTTACTTGTAAGTCTTTGGCAGCCCGCAAATGAAGAAGCGATGAATCAGCCAATTTAACATTGTCATTACCACTGGGTGAGATACAAAATCTTAACTATAATTATTCTATATTCTGTTCTATGATTATCCCTGGACAGAGTAATTCTATACAAAATCTTAACTATACTGTTCTATGATTATCCCTGGACAGAATAATTCCTTTAACAGAAATAAGTGCCTCTTAGCCCCACCACTAAATAGAGGAGCGGTGGATCTAGAGAAAGGGAAAGAGACACAAAGAAAATAAATTGGACATTAACACTTAATTGTACTTCAAGGAAGGAAGTTTGGTATTACTTTGGTGTTAAACTTAAGAAATTTTCCTCTTAAAAGTATATTAGCCATACAATGCTGGGAGTAAAACTGTTTGTTATGGCTATCTTAACAGTGTTGGTAAAAAGCCCAGAACATGACCTTGAATATTCAAACTTGGAACTCTGTTTTGACTTTCCTTTATTTTCTCTGTGAACTGACTAAAACATAGATAGTTAACTTTGGAAAATTTAAAACAAACATCGAGTGGACGTGGTTATCAACGTACGTCAGAGACTGGATTCAAAATTAACCCTAAAGGTGATCAATTTACTAAGGTGGACTTATTGAAGTAATTATTGATGGAACTGGACTGACTGCTCTAAGCTACTGGACATTTTTCACTTGAAATACAAGTACAGTGGTGCCTCGCTTAACGAGCGCTTCGTTTAACGATGAATTTGCTTAGTGATGACTTTTTCGGAGCGTTTTTGTGCTCCGTTTAACAATGGTCCCTATGGGTGATTTTCGCTTAGTGATGTTGGGGCCATGCTTCGCATAACGATTAAATTTTTGGGTCCCCTGTTTCGCTTAACAATGGTTTAAACAGCCTCATGTTTGCTGTTTTTTAAATGTTATAAAATTAAAGTTTACTGTTTAAAATGTTTGAAATCATAAAGTGCACTTAAACCCTTTGTTAACCAAATTTGACTTTGTTCTGAGTCTTTTAATTTGTTGGTGAATTTTTTTCCCCCATTGAGATGCATTGAATAGGTTTCAATGCATTTCAATTGGGGAACTGCGTTTCGCTTAGCAGTGTTTCCTATGGCGATTTTCGCTTAAGGACGGCAATTTGTTCCTATTGGAACGGATTATCCGGGTTTCAATGCATTTCAGTGGGAAACCGTGTTTCGCTTAGCGATGTTTTCACTTAGCGACGAATTTTTTGGAAACCAATTAAAATCGTTAAGCGAGGCACCACTGTACTTGGGACATAATGCTACAACATGGGAAATTTTGGGATGAAACAAAAGCTATCCTTCAAGCAGTCTTAGAAATAGTGAGATCCCATAACAAAGGGATTAAATCATTCAAGGAGCAACTGAAGAAGGACTATATTCAGCAGGAGACAGGGAATAATGAACAGGGAAATATGAGTGTGGTAGATGATGTATGCCAACCAAAGGAAGGGCTGGAGGAAATCAGAGGAGAAAATTTTGCAGATGTAATTCTAATCCTAGAGCTGAGGAGAATTTTTACTGTGATAAGAGAAGATAAGGGGAGAAAATCAGCAGAATTAATTTAAAATAGCCTGGAAGATCTATTGGAGATAGATCAAGTGTATAAAAATGTTTTCAGATGATACAAGGGACGGCAGAATGTTTAGAGCAATAGAAACAAGAATTGGGAAAAACAAATACTGTAAGAGGAGTTGCTTAAAACAGAGGTCCCCAATCCCGGTCCGTGGCCCGGTGCCGGTCTGTGTCCTGAGCCAGTTCGGGCAGCGGAGACAGGCCTCCCCACCCCTGCATACACTCACCCTGCACAGCTGATTCACTCCAGCATGGCCGTGCGAGCGATGCACCGTCATTTGCACGAGTGCGCACATGCCTGCACAAGCGCCATTTGTGCATGAGTGTGCACTCATTTGTGTGAGAGTGTGCACTTGTTCGCCTTCCCCAACTGGTCCGCAGGGTGAAAAAGGTTGAGGACCCCTGGCTTAGAAAGATGAAAAAAAGGAAAAATATTAAGGTGGCCCTCAACATTGAAAGCATGTATATACCTAACTTCTGGAATTGTAAAGAGGCATATTTTATATATATCAAAAAAGGGAATTCGGCTGAAATAAGGGATCAGTAATCAGAGTAAAGGCATAACACGGTGGTTTTTAAGATAAATTGAAGCTAGATATAAGGATGGGGCAAAACAAATAGTACTTAATGAATATACATTAGATATGATATTGATACAGACATGATAGAAAATGTGGAGATGTCTAAACAATTATATAAAGAAAACCTGTATAAAATGCTTTTGAAGGTAAAGGTTCCCCTTGACATTTAGTCCAGTTGTGTCCGACTCTAGGGGGCAGTACTCATTCCCGTCTCCAAGCCGTAGTGTCAGCGTTTATCTGTAGACAGTTTCCGTGGTCATGTGGCCAATGCGACTAGACATGAAATGCTGTTACCTTTCCACCATGGTGGTAACTATTTATCTACGTGCATTTGCATGCTTTCAAATTGTTAACATCTATTATGTGTTAGGAACCTACTCAGTTATTATTGGTATAAAATACAAAGTTCGTTGGTTAAATCACCTCAAAATTATATAGATTTGGAACCGGAATTACTTTTATTAGGTATGTTATTAGAGGATTTTGAGAACATTGTATATTATGAGAGCAATACTATGATAGTAGCCAATATTGGATACTAAAATACACACAAGAATGGTTTAAATGTTTAAAAAATGTATAGATTTTGAACAGACAACTAAGACTCCAAGACGCAAAAAACCCAATAATTATAAGCAACCCATGTACAGTGGGGTCTTGACTTAAGAACAGCTCGAGTTAAGAACATTTTGACTTAAGAACCACTCTCATAGGAAAATATTGACTTGACTTACATACTTAGATTTGAGTTAAGAACTGAAAAAAAAACCACGTGGGAGGCAGGGAAAGTGCAAAATTTGAACTTTCAGTTAACTGTTGGCCAGTGAAAAGGGTGCCTGTCTGCTTCCTCACTCCTCCCAGCGTTTAGAGAGTGGATTGGGAGACAGTCTTCAGACTGCCTGGTACTTGTACTGCCTGGACTGTCTTTTCCCTGCCTTCCCTGAACCTTTCTTGACCTAAGAAAAAAAGAAACAAAATATCCCCCTCTAGTGGTCGAAGGCGGAATAGCAGCTTCCCATTAGTTTCTATGGATGGAAAAGAGCAGATATGGATCAAATGGTTTTCAGTGCATTCCTATAGGAAATGCAGATTTGACCTGAGAACTTTTTGACTTGAGAACCACCTTCCAATACGGATTAAGTTCTCAAGTCAAGACCCCACTGTCACAAAATGTTTAACAAGCACAAATTGAATGTAGATAGATTGAAAAACTAATAAAACATTTAAACAATGTTTTTTAACATTTGTAATTTAATTTATCTGCTGTAAAATAATGCCACCTACCATGTAACTGTAAGTAGTACTCAGGGTGACTTTGCATTCATTACAAATGGAATTTTGTGGGCTCTTGTCTGCTTGGGGCCCTTGTGACTTGATTATAGACCCCAAAGCCTTAAGACCCTTCTGAATCATTTGCCAGCAAAACGTGTGGATGGAAGAATCCCAGAAGCATTTTGAATGAGTAATTATGGTTTAAAATGTCCAAGGATGTGCTACATCTTTTTTAGCCTAAGAAAAACTAAAGGGAGGGCTTGCACAACTGGAAATGCACTTCCAGCCACTTTGTTTTGTATGGCTCTCCCTTGGTTCCCAAAATACGTCCCAGATGTCCAGAATCCTCCACCCTTGCTTTTAATGGAAAGCAGATTCATTTGTGCAAGCAGAATATCTGATTTTCACCAGTCGTCGAGGAAACTGCCTCTTTTTTCCCTTGTGAAAAAGTGATGTTGGGGGGAGCTGACAAACCCTTCATGATACAAGAGGATATGACAGTATTTTAGGGTGACTAACAGAAATTGGTTGTCAGACTTGTCTGGGGGAGAAGCGCTTTTATACAAAGGCAGAGTACCTATCGCATTGCCTCTGGATTCTGTTCACATTAAAACTGAGAAATGGCACTAATTTGTTTTATCTTTCTTGCTAGTAAATATGATTTCTACAGCAGATGAACTATGCAGAATTACATGCAAGCAGCTGCTGCACTGGGATATTCTTACTCGAGAAGGAAATTCTCTGAGGAGTACATGCTGTCAGGTATGAAACAGGAATAGAATTTACATTTCTGTATAGAAAATATTTTTAGTGCCAGATTGCTTTGTTCCTTCATTGGGTTAGGATTATAGTATGGTTTTTATGCATCTGTGTTTTATAGTGCAAGCATCATTTGGTTACGCTGACAAGTTCATTATTTGGCGATTGTTAATGTAACTTAACATTGAAAGCCAGCTCGGTGAGGAAAACTGGTCCTCCAGATTTTATTGGACTTGGGCTGTCATCAGCTGTAGCCTACGTATGGTGATAGATCTTGGGATTTGTGTTCTAGCATCTGGAGGGCCATTCATTCCTCATTCCTCTAGCAGGGCTGGGTAGAAATTACGTGGTTGCTGAGGCTGTGTTTGTCATCTGCAAAGGCTTCAGGGAAAAATGCTTTACCCCTGGATCTTTTTTCAGACCATCACTTAAACCAGGAAAAATCTCTAAAGAGATACAGTTTTCCTCTAAAACAAGGTGTGCTCTCCTATACCTTACTCTGTCAAAAATTCCATTTTGTAAAAGAGAATGACTTTTTGTTTATTTTCTAAACTGGCAATATGGTTTTGTTTGGGAAAATCTTCCCATCCAGCCCTCAAGTGCCATCCTCTAAGTCAGAGGTCTCCAAACTATGGCCCATGCACTACATCTGGCCCACCTTGCCTTTTTATTCAGCCTGGCAAATACTGCAGATTCAGGTCCATTCCCGTCATCCTGTGTGTGCATTCCTTTGCTCCTCAAAAATGTGTAAACTATATCATGTGGCCCTCATGCTGAAAAGTTTGGAGACTCCTGCTCTTAAGTGAAAGAGAAAGCATGTATACCTTTACTGTCCCAGTAGGTAATAATGTCCTGCACAGCTCTTGTGCTCCTCACTGGCACTTATTCCTTGTGAAACACTCCCATCTTTCTGACTTCTCCTATGCTTATAGCCCTTTCTTAAATCTAAGATGTTAGAAGCAGAATATTATTTCAGAATGGGACATGGGCTTACTTCCATGAAGATCTATTTTAGTCTGTTGAGAAGGAGACATCTAGGAATTGGTTAATCTCTTTCTTAGCCCAGTGCAGACAGAAAGAGTGAATTTAGAAGAGTAATAGTCATGCTCACAAGCTTCTTCCATTCCTCCCTCCCCAGCTTAGCTAAAGAAAGGTGGAACTGAATAGGAAAGTTAGTAAAAGGTGCCAGTGGATTATGACAGAGATGGAGTCAACCACTGGTGGGAAGTATCTGGGTGACTCCTTTTCTGTAGACCAGAATGGACCTTCCAATTCTTTGCAGGGAGTCACCATCCACAAATATAAGGTACCTAAGCAAGCTCTAAGTCTATAGGGAGGTAGGTGGCTGTTTCTTCAGTCAGAAACTACAGTAGTGCCACACATTACAATGTTAATTCATTCCAGAGATATCGCTGTAGAACGAAAATGTCGTACAGTGGGGTCTCGACTTAAGAACTTAATCC